GCGGAAAAATATTTGTACAAAAATATTCAAGTGGAACATAATTTGAAAACTTTACAACAAATTCCATAAAGCATGCGCATTATTTAAATATATTTAAAATTAATTTAGGCTGAGCTTTGGTAATAATGATTAATAATAATTAAAACCAAACCATTATACTCTGATTTACCATTTTCAATGGGTTCACGGTATAAAAAAAAACAAGCTTAGAAAATGCAAAAAAAAAAAAAAAAAAATAATAATAATAATAATAATAAATAAGTGGAAAACAATAAATTATTAAAATTATTATTAAAAAATATCAATAAATAATTTTTGTTAATTTTTTTCTTAACGAAAAAATGCAAAGCTTAAATTTTAAGCCTAGATTATTAAATAAATATAAATTGTAGTACATTAAATAAAAATAAATAAATAAATAAATATGAATAAAAAATAATAATATAATATAATAAATAATATATTTAATATGTTATAATATATTTTATATTTCGATACATAAAAATAATATGATCAAGCTATAGAATTATTAATAATACATGAATTATAATTTGTATATATTGTATAATATGCAACGAGTATAGCCAAAGAAGAATTTTAGTATAGCTTTCTCATAAAAAAGTATATATGTATATAAATATATATATATGTAAAAAATATATATGTATATATATATATATATATATTTTTTTTTTTTTTTTTTTATGATAAATTCATTTTTATTTTATTAATATACTCAAAAGTTCAAGACTCTACCTAGCATCTATATATTTGTGTATCATATCATATGTCATACACATGTATGTCTCATTCGTTCTTGTGTTATGTCCTTAACTATACTTTTACCGTTCTTTATTCTACTTCTCTCCCCCCAACGCTAACCAAAACCAAAAACTGTTTTCCCGCACGTAAACTTAACAATCTGTATGTACCTCTTGTTTGAAACTTTCTACGTATTTAATATGTGTCTTACACACATACACACACACACACCTACACACAAACACAAACACACCTGTTGAACTGAACACAAAAACGGAATTTTATTATTATAAATTATTTTCCTTATGCAATTTTATTTCTGTTCATTTGGTTAAAATTATGTTTTTCTTTTATATTTATTTATTTTCATATATATTTTGGTGTATTCGGGTGTTTGGTGTGTGTGGATCTTATTATATAAATATCTTATATAACTGCAACAATAACAACAACAACACAACAACAACTACCAAATATATATCATCATCAACAACTACAAATGCAACAACAACAACAACAACAACTTGCAATTGAAGGACCCCGCATGGGCATTGGTAACTCCATCACCGACCACTCACGACGCTCTTCAATTTCAGAATCCTCAGCCATCTCCGGGTTCTCCTCGGCTAGCAACAAGACCTATGTACACGAGGCGTCCACCTTGGTCCTGGAAACTGTGGAGAATGGCGTTAAGCGGTTAGCATGAATACGAATTTTATTTAGATTAGTTTTCGACTAGACTCCAGAATCTATATAGATGACTAAAGGAAAAGCGATAGATGTCTGATAAGAGTAATCTATTAAGTCAATCCTAACAAGCAATTCCCCTTCTCTAGTATATGTAGATCAAGTTTATGCTTAAACTTATCGATACTCGATACAATCGATAAAAATCGATGTGATAATCTGGTTATTAAGAGCTAAGAGCTCTATATTTGCCATAATTAACATTTACACTAGTCGGATACTCTCGACTGCAATTCATTTGATTTACTGATGATTTACTAATGATTTGATATCTGCTTCCAGACATTTCATCGTCCCACTGGCCATTGCACAGAGGCCTCGTTGGCGTCGCAAGGGCACCAAGCTGCACATCTACAACGATCACACCTTCATAGCCAAACATCTGAGCGGGTAAGTCAGAGTGAGAGAGAGAGAGAGAGAGAGAGAGAGAGGAAAGACGAATGAGAGTGATGGAGAGAGAGAGTGAAGTCAGAGAGTCAGTGAGAGGCGGGAGGAGCGTGAGAGATAAGACTGAAAGAAATAAACAAGAAATGTGAAAGATGATTGAGAGAAAAATGATAGAGCGATGTAAGAGAGATAGAGGACTGCAAGAGAGAGTCTAAACCTAAGAGGAGATTATGATAGAAGCCTGTGTGATAAATGGGAGAGCGAAGAGAGGAACAGAGGAGTTACAGAAGTCTCTCAACTTCTGTTGAAGGAGGAAAATATAAGAATAGAAGTAAGCAGAGTGTAAGGGGAATGAGAGAGAGTAAGAGAGAGAGAGAGTGTGTGAGAAATCAATGAGACATCACAGAGTGATTCAATCTGTACTCCCTGTCCCTAATCTAACATCCTGTTAACATCTTTCAATCCACAGTGGTGGCTTGCAGTGCTCGATCTGCATGAAGTCCATACCCAGGCGGCCGGGCAAGCAGGGCTACGAGTGCCGCGACTGCCAGTTGATATGTCACAAGCAATGTCACGTCCGTGCCCCACAGGCGTGTCCCAATCCCACGGTGCTCTCCATGGAACTGTAAGTTGTCCATTTGCCTATCGCTTACATATATAATACACTTCAGTTAAATATATCCATATATAATTATAACGTTTATATACGGTGGTTGGCTTTAGTAATTGAAGTACTAATTTATTGTTTTTCGTTCTTTATTTCTCTCTTCTTTTAAACACACCCACACACACACGAACAAACGTTACCCTGCCCCTGCTCAATTGACAATTTAGAACCTCATATCCGGTACTCACAGAGCGAGATTTGACTCTATAGTTAACATAACTTACACTTAAATATCCAATATGAAATACTTAACATTGAATAATATTCTATTTCTATCTCTATTTTCTATTGTAATGTCCGCTTAAATGCTCCTGAATATTTACAACATTTTATTTGCAATTATTTGCATTACATATTTGAGTTTCTTTTACTTTTTTTTTTTTAAGATTTGACGTCAAAATTATAAAATTTTCTGTTATTTTATAATTAATTTGAAATTAAGGTTATTTTCTATTTTAGTGGAGGGTTTTAGTCTGAATTTTGACATATTTTTATTATTCAGCTGCTTTAACATACATAAGTACTGTTAAGTATATTACGCATCCTCTTTACGCGTGTCCTTTACTCTAATGTTGTCTCTTTTTTCTCTATATTAAACAATACGCACACATACACATCCGTATTTACTCCATTTGCAATCCACAGAGCTTTCATTACATGCATTGATCTACTCACATACACACATAAACACACAAAGCATGCTTTACACACACACACACACAGGCAGACAAGCATGTACAAGCTCTCACACAGCCATAAAAACTCACACGTATAGTAGTTGCAAACATTCATCTGTTAACTTATCTATACATCTATAAATACTCACACACACACACACACACATAAAGCACTATAATACCCGAATTCATTTTTGTTGTTACACAGTCTTCTAACATAATTTCACACATTTTTCTATTTCACTCAAAACATGGACACAGGATGCCGATTGATCAGTAAAGTTTTAAGCTCACAAATATATAAAAATTAACGTTTTATTATAAAGAAGAAGAAAAGAGCAGCAGCATTAAGCAATTAATAATAAAATATACATTTTGACGTCAAGATCAGTTTATGTTCAACATTCACGCGAAATATACATATGTATAGAGAGCAGGGAGAATATTTTTTTTAGGCCAATTGTTCAGATCTTCCGTTATCGTTCACTAATTTTGGACAATGGGTAAGAACTGCAGCTGCAAGCATGCTAATGTTCCAGTTAACAGTTAACAATTTACAATAACAGCTTTTTCAAATAACAGCCAAAACAAAAACAAACTTTACTTCCTTTTTATCGATAAAATGAAAATTTGAATGATTTAGCTATCGCTTGAAAAAAGATTTTTGTATGTTAATGAGAATGTTTTATTTTTAAATGGATTATTTGAATGTTATTTGAAATTTTCCTATTTTATTTTTTTTGAATAATTTTAATTTTGTTACTGTTACAATTAAATTTTTGATTTAGCTGCCGCCTGTAGTTTGTTGTGTTATAGTATTTTTAAGAATTTCCTCTGTTGTTAGTCAATTTGTTATTAATAATCATTTTTCTATTTATCTATGTATCTAATCTATTTTTAATTCTCTTTTCACAGAACGAAACTAAATCTAACTGCTGCGGATCGTAGTAGGAAATTATAAAGAAACCTACAATAAAACAAATTCGAATCGAAATAATATATATAATTAAAAATAGTATGCAATTTATACATATTGAGCGAAAGAGAAGTCATCTAAAAATATTGAAACCCTAAAATCAGAATGAAACAAACTGCAAACAATTTATAAACCTATAATCTATATATATACTTAATTATGTTATTTATTTTATATTCGAGTGCAATAATTTGGGTTTATTTTTAAACTGTTTTCCTAACTTTACTGCAAATTATTACAAAGAACTTGGATATTTTGTATTTTTACCATCACGAATAATAATTGTACAAATCTGAAAACATTTTTGAATAAAAATTGAATGGCAAAAAGCGAAATTCGAATCATAATTATTGGTCACATTTCACGGATAATTCAGATGGCAACGCTTAAAGCTGAACAGCTGCTTAGGCAACAATCGAATATATGTTAACCCAACAGCCACATCGATTGTTACTAACATTGCCAATTGAGCACAACAGCGGCTTGTATTAACATCTGTAGTGACAATGGTGACAATAAGAAAGAAGAAACTCTTGCAAGCTGCAAAAAGGTTTACATGCCCAGCTTTTAAGTAATGTAATTTGATTACATTTAAGAATATAAAAGAAGCCCAAAATGGTTTTATGGAAAACATATTTTATTAGCAACACTGTTCGTTCGGCAACATGTGGCCAAACATTGCTCGTCATCTTGGCAACATTTTCTCAACATGCTATTTAACAGCTCCTTTTGAGCACGTGAAACCTGGTTAAAAAAATGTAGGTGCGCGCATTGTATTTGTATTTGTTCTTGCGCTGCACTCGTCGGTCGGTCGGTCGCGTATGTTATTTGTGTTCTGAACGAGTGTGTGCGTTTGTAGTGCGTAAAAATTATTCATTAAATTGGAATAAATATACAACAAAAAAAAAAAGTTAATCGAGTAAGCACGTGTGGATTTCAGTGCATTGATCGCATTGTGCCAATGCCAGCTTATTAGCTGGCATCAACAACAGCAGCAACAACAAATATCGCGTGCGTACCGTGTTAGTGGCCAACAGAACGTCAGACACGCCTCGCGACTGCGACTGCGACGCGACATGGAATCAAAATCATACGGCCGAAAAGCAGCAGCAGCAGCAGCAGCACAAAAAGCTGAAGAGAAGAAGAGAAGCAAGCCGCAGTAGACTTTGCTGTCGCCGTTGCCTTGTTTTTGTGTTGTTGTCGCGTTGTCTGTTTGCGCGTTGTCTGTATGTGTGCGTGTGTCGGTCTATGATTGCGTATATATGCATGTGAGTGCGTGTGTGTGCCTGCCAACGCCGCCGTGTCTGTCGCGTGTGTTAGTGCGATATATATTTCCAATTGGCATCTGTTTATATTTTTATATATGCATATATAAAATATATAAATGTTTAAATTAATAAGGCGACACACACACAAAAGTGGCCAACAGATAACAAATGTTAAAAACAAATAAAATTAAAAAAAATATTAAGCGAATAATTTTTGGTCGTTTTCGCTGCTGTCGCAGTCGTCGCAGCTGCCGCCGCTGTTACTGCCACTTGTTTTTCCACTTTTGCGACCGCGACGCCGTTGTCGACGCCTCTGCCGCGGCCGCCGCTCTCGCTTTCTCTCTCACAGTGCAACGCCAACGCTAACGCCGTCGCGTTTATCATTATTTTGACTATCATTGTTGTTGTTGTTGTTGCGGTTACTGTTGTTGTTGCTGTTTCTGTTTTGTTGCTGTGTGCGCTTTAATTTCGCTTCGATTCTGTTCTATTCCGTTTTATGATTATTTCTGCGTGCAAAGAGATGACCAATATTTTGTTATGCATGTGTGTGTGTGTGCGAGTGTGCGTGTGTGCGTGTGTGTTAGTGTGTTAAAAGCTAATTCTCAATATTAATTGAAATTCCAGTTCTATAAATACGGCAATTGTTAACCGTTACGCAATTTTGCATATTAAGCACACATATATTTTACTTCGAGAAGTTTTCCAAATCACCCCCTCCCCTACGCACCACAACGAAAATGCAAAAAATTCGGAAATTTTACGATATTTGAAATTGATCCACTACTTACCACAACAACAGCAGCAGCAACAACAACAACAATAATAACAGTAAAGGCAGCGCCACTTGCAAAAAGCACAACAACATAAAACACTGAAAGAGAGATAGAGACAGTGGGACATAGAGGGAGATAGACAAAGACAAAGACAGGCAGACAGACAGATAGGCAGGCAGCGAGCGCTGCTGCCTAGTGAATCCCGCTCTCGTCATGGCCGCTGCTCACAGTCACCACAATGCCAATTTGCTCAGCTCGGACATATCCCGGCGCAATCCGCAGGACGAGTACGATCTCATACAGAAAATTGGCTCTGGCACCTATGGCGATGTTTATAAGGTAAGTTTTTTTTTTACTTTGGTCATTTTATGCTGCGGGCTGCCAATTTGCCAGTTGCGGCACACAACCACACCCACACACACACGCACACACTAAGCGCCACTTTGCTTTAAAGAATGAATTCCTCTTTATTTCTATTTCTCTCTCTCACTCAAACACGCACAAAGCCATTGCCAGAAGAACCAAATAAAAGCATGCTTGCAATTCCAAATACATATGTATATGAATAACATATTAGTATCTATGTGTGCGTGTGTGTGTGTTGAACTCCACTTCGACTTTTGTTTTGCTTCGCATTCCTTCTGTATTCGCTGCTGCTGCTGTTCCGTCTGCATGAGTGCACGTGCAGCAACCGCTTTTGGTATTCTACACTCTCCACTCCACGCCCGTCCCTCTCCCACTTGCAGTCATGCTCATTTGTACATCTGTTCATCGCATATCTAACCCTTTGCTCTCTCCACACAGTGTGAGGCAAAATATGTGCAATATTTTCTGGCTCTTATTTTAAATTGTTTTTTTTTTATGGTCTTTTTTTTTTTTCTTATTTTGTTTATTTTGGTATTCGTCGACATCGACATGGTGCATGGTAAATGCTCGGCTGTCAGTGCGAGGCTGTCCTTGCACTTTCAATAGGAAAGGTCGCAGGGGACAAGCACTCACACACGCACACACACACACACACACATGCAAGCAGAGAGTGAGTGAGGGTGTGGCCATAATGCATTTCTGGTATAAGCCGCGCGTAATCCTCGCCAAGCGCAGCATATTCAAAATTGAAATTAGAATTTTGTTGAATTGCTTCGCTCGTTCTCTCTCTCTCTCTATCTCTGTCTGGCATTGTCTCTCCCACTCTTTCGCTTCGAACAGTTAAAGTTGAAGCCACGCGCGCGCATTGATTATGCGGATTAATTTCCATATTGAATATATGCATGGTATGTATGTGTGTATTTATGTAAATACATACATATGTATGTGTCAGAGTGTTTATTTATATACATATATATTTACTCATCTGCCCTGTTGTACTGTGTGTGCATTGAAATGCCTGTGCGTCTGTGTGTGGATTGCATATTGTGTGTGGCTCTGCTCCGTTTTGCATGCGTCATGCGCCAAAGCTAACGGCGCATGCTTCCAGTGCTTCCACTGCTCGTCGCCATTTTCCACTCTTGACACATTTATTTATTTCCACATGCGGAATTTGTTGTACTCATGCTGGAATTTATGATGCCACACACATACTCACATATCTGCCCCCCCCCTCTCTAGCTCTGTTTCGCTCTGTCTGTGTTTCTTTAACTCGGTCTTCACACACTGCAGTGTGTGCACAGTGCACTGTTTACAAGCAGATGTTCGCTTGGCGCTGAAAACGTATGTTTTCTGTTTTGAACATTTATTGTTTATGCAAAGTTTGAATGCACAACACATAAACAACGATGATCTAATGCAAAACAATTGTTTTTATTTTGAAAAGAATATTTAATAAAGCCCTCAAGCGATTCTCGCACTTTATTTGAGGCTTATTTATGTCCTCGTGGATTCCGCTTCTAGTGAAAATTCTTATCAATAATAAATTCAATTGAAATGGAAATGCTCATGTTTCATAATTTCTATGTAGCCATTAGGCCGAAATTAATGCTATGACAACCAGCAAAATGTTGGCCAACAAGCAAACAATAAGCAGGCGTGTTGAGGCTGTTGGCCAAGCGGCAGCTTTTCATTATCGCAGCCAAGTGGGGAAAAGCGAATAAACAAAACAAAGTCTACTTTAAGGCGTGAATACTCGATAGCAAAACGGAAACCGAAGTTGCTGCAGGAAAACAAGAATAAGAAAGAGAACAAGCTCAGGCAGAGGGAGAGGCAGAAGTGTAAGCAGAAGTGCCTACTACAGTTATGTAATGAAATATGGCACACACACACACACAGACATTTACACACCCACACATACATAGATGATTGCCTTAGTCAGGCACTTGACTTCGCACATTGTTGCCATTGTTTTTCTTGGTTTTCTTGCTGTTGTTGTTTTTCCGCTACACATTTTTACAATCAGCGTCGTCATTGTTGAGCTTCTTCTTGTTATTGTTGTTGCTGTATAAGGATTTGCTGAATTGTGCTATGCTTTTATGTGGTAAACAAATGGGGTATATTAAAGCATTTTTTGTGTCGATGCTTAGTCAAGTTTATAAACATTTTAGTTAATATTAGAGATTAAAATTAATATTATATTAAGATTAACTTAAAAATTGAACTTTGGCAGCTGGCATCATATAAATAAAAACATTTCTTGAATAGCTTTTTAATTCTATTTAAATATACGTATATGTATGTGGTAAATACTAAATATTAGCATACAGCATACAGGGTATATGCTAGTATATCATACCCCAGCTAGTGCAACTAGTTTTGGTTTCGCACACGCAACACGCATGAAAACATGAAAAAAATTGGCGCAAACCACTCAGCGCCAGAGAGTGGCTGGGGGGGAGAGTGTAACTGACTGTTTGGCGGGGCCGGGATGAGGCGTAAATTACTAGAGAAAGGAGCCAAATGGTAGAGGGAATTGAAGACGTAAAAGAGTGGAGAGTGGAGAGTGCGAAGTGACGTAGTCTGCGGGTAGAGAGGGAGCGAGACTCCAAGCAGGAATGCCAGATGCGAAGGCGAGTCACGTAACAATATAGAAATGTATGTGTACGTGTGTGAGTGAGTGAGAGAGAAAAAGAAAGAGAGAAAGAGAGAGAGTGATACCCGCAGACGTATAAAAATGCATTTGTTTTGATGCAAACACATTTCCACTGCTGTCTCGCTCTCCCTCTCTCTCCCTCCCTCTCTCTCTCTCTCTCTCTTCTTCGCTGAAATTCGGACTCATTTGCAACAAACAACTTGATCAACTCATAATAATGAGCAAAGAAATTGGGGTGGAGGGGACTCTGTAGGCAAACTGAGTATCTGAATCACGATTACGAACACCAAAGGAAAGCAAACAGCTGAGAAAACGTTTCACCCTCCCCATGCCCCTCTCTAGAGCAAGGGCTGCTTTATGCAAATGGCAGCATAACGTGTTTCCAGTTCAGCAATTGAACTAGGCAAGAAGTTAGATTTAAATATTTAATGAAAAATCCTCAGAATCCCGTTAGCCGCTGCGCAGTGCAGGCTGGTAACGGAGCCACCCCTCTCGGTTGGGGCTATGAACATGAACAACAATAACAAACAGGCGTAACAATCAGCGCAACAATGGGGGAGACATGGGGCAAGCCCAACCCGAGTGACCCAATTCTGAGTCGCAATAATTTGCACGTTTTCTTTGTTAAAGGGTTGAACGGGACTTCAGCTGCTTCTGCCGCTGCCTCTGTCGCTGCCCCTGCTCCGTTCGTTGAGCACTGAGCTGGGATGTCGAGCCCTCGGCTCGAGAGCAATTAAAGCCACAGACTGCAACAGCAACAGACTTCGCTGACTGCTGCTGCTGAAGGTGTGCGTGCAATCGTTTACATTTTCATTTCAAACTCTGTTTGGGTCCAACTAATTTACTCGCCAAATCAACTTAAATAAACGAAATTTAAATAAAATGCCCTGCAAGTCCCCCCCCACTCCCTCTGCGCCTTTGCTACTATGTCCCTTTTTTTGTTGTTGTTGTCGGTTCACAAATCTCAAATCCCAGTTGTGTAAATATTAGACTGGCCTGTCTGGTGCCTGTTGGCAAATCCTATGTCTTGTGGGCTAGTCCCTTATCTGCTGCTAGTCTTTGTCTATATCTCTTTCTCTCTCTGTTTCTGTTTCTCTTTCCTCTCTTTCCTCTCTTTGCTTGCCTCCCTTAGTGCATATCAGAAATATTATACAGCTTGTGTCAAGCCCTTCGCCGACATCAGCGACTGTCCCCAAAGTCAAATAAAAAAGGTAATCTAAGCTCCTTTTTTATACCCTAATAAAAATTAGTAAAAAGGATATATTAATTCTCTGCAAATGTTTGTGACAGACAAAAGGATATTAGCACTGATAGCAGCTTCAAGAGTCGTGCCTATATATTGTATAGATAATAGTTTTCATCAGTAAGATTTTATCATCTGATATTTCAGCTTTTATAGACTTGACTAGCTTTAGTTTATTCTCCTTTTCAGATTATCCTCAAATTGAAAACTCGATTATATCACGGCTTTCAGGGTATCTGCTAGTCAATCATTGTCCACTAATCCAGGCTCACATGTGTTTTTGTCCACTTCTCCTGGTTAAGGTTGTTTAGGAAGCAACTTGAGAGAGGAGTAGCCAGTGCAGGAGGCGGCAGGCAGCTGGAGCCAAACACATCCTTTGTATGCCATTTGCCTGTCGGCAACTGTCCGCTTCAAGTGGGCGTGGTCCGGCGAATTCTCTAGTTTTTTTATTTTGATCAGTTTAAGCGTATTTGATTTACTAAACCGGGAGATTCAGCTCGTATAACCTAATGTCTGACATGCCTTAGTCTTGTTGTTGTTGTTGTCCTGCAGCTCTTGGGTTTCTTTCAATTTCGTCTTTGACCCATCGCATTCATCATTATCGTCTTCCCTTCTAGCTGGCTAAATAAGCGCCTGCCATGGCAGCTGCCGATGCTGTCCTTTGATTTTCCCAGTCCAGCCCATGTCGCCGATTGCCTCAGTTTGTGCTTCTGTTTCTGTTTCTGTTTCTATTTCCGCTTGGCAAGGCGAAGGTTATTCGAATTGGGCATAAAAATTGGATATGTGCCAGTGCCAGTGCCAGTGCCGCAACCACGCCTCCCTTGACGCTGAGTTGGGCTTGACTTGGGCTGTGTCCCCATGTTGGGCCAAAAATGAAATAAATAAAAAAAGGCAACCGGCGCAAAGGAAGTGTTTACAGTTGTTCGGCTCTTCAAATGTTTTGCTCTTAAGTTTGTTATTTGGCCAATTTGGCCATGTCATTTGCCGCGCAGCGTCTGGAATTTCCCTTACATATGACGTTGCCAAAAACTTTGCCCTTTGCATAAGCAGCCAAAAGCCTTTTGGGTATACTCAAAC